AACATAGTCATTTTTATATACTATATGCATTTGTAAATAATAATATGCGCCTCAGTTATGGTGAAAAATATGGATAACTGCCCCAGTTTCATATTATTCAAACATATCACTTTGCATTTAGATGTTTTCAAAAGACTTTATCGTTTTAAATATTTTAAATCTTGGCAACGAAACAACTGTAACAAATTGTGATTTTTCGGATAGCTATTTTTTGTAAACAAATGAAACATTAACGCTCAAGGATAGAAAAAGAAATTTCTTCTGTTTACTCTTAAATATTTCATTTTTTTTGCATTTGAATAAATATTTTCTAATTTTGCGTTCTCGAAGTCATCGCAACACAAAATATAGGCTTTCGATGCCTACGTCTAGAAATTAAAATGAACGATAACCTTATTGAGAAATATGGTGACCATACTTCAGTAGAAGTCTAATATAAATATATATCGACATGTCTTATTTACGATTTTCCTTGAAAATTCAAGAAGCATATAGAAAAATATCTAATGAGCAAAGATCAAGTTTGAACAAAAAAAGTACGTCTTCATTATCATTTTATCGTGCATAAAATGAAGTGTCAATGAAAATTCATTGAATTCGAATGTTTTTAACAGAGAACGCCACAGGATGCATATCCTCAAGAATGTGCAATACTCGGCAGTGCACGATGCAAAGCATGTTGGATACTGTTTGGACCCTGTAGGACACCCATGTCACCTAATTGATCGTGATTCAATGAAGCTCTGATCTAGTTATAAAATTCTTGGTTATTTTCGATTATTCTCAATATAATTAAGAAGAGTAGCTGCGATACCAGCAAACAGGACTTAGGTAAAAAGAATATTTAGCTCCACTGGATTGACATTTACACTAGGACGTACGTATTTATTAAGTAGTGAAACTGATCAAATATTTTTTATTCACTCATAGAATAAATTGAAGAAAAATCAATAAAAAGATAATTTATGTGTTCTCTTTATTCATCTGCGGTATATTGATGACATGTTGAATCCTATATATTTATTTGTTTTATTAGTGTTTTGTTCACAGTATGTATGTCAATTATTTGTTTTTATTGTTCTTTTCACTTGTGTTATAAAGCATGTCATAAGGATTAATTGAATATCTATATTGTCAATGATTTTTGTCCGAATAGTACGTCTATAATATTTAATGTCATACCTAATACACAAGCAACTTGTTTTTCTTGTCAAAAATACAATGAAAAGATTGTTATTCATTTCGAATGCAAGAGAGTGTCTGTATCAATATTGTTGGATTCTTGAGCTGATTAATAATGAAATCATTGAAATAAATAAATGCTTTCAATTCATTAAAACTTGTTTCAAATTGAAATTTTTGTACATGAAGATTTCAATTTAATTGATAGATTCAATTAAGAGATTTTCAAATATAAAACTATAAAAATCACAATCAGAAATCAATAGAATGGATCATTATGTCGATGTAATCCTGAAACTATTCATAATCTTTTAGACATAATCAACTCGAACTCAACTAAAATTTAAGATTATTACTAGAAAATGTTTTTTTTTATGTTTGTTTATCCTTCGTAAATATTGAATATTTTAATGTATGTCATTGTATAGAAAATACTTCTTGAACAAAATCACTTTATAAACATATATCGTTTTTCAATCTGCAAAAAATAATTTTTGACATGAAAATTTTCCGCTATCGTTTCAAATAATGAGATAATCCTTTACGTTTGTCCGTTCCTATGAATAATAGTGTCCAACTTCAACAGTTCTCTACCGAACTTGATCATTGACTAAATATACAAATTACAAAGATTTATTTATTGTTAATAGATCATCAATATTCAGTATGATATATTTTATTTTGTATATTTAATTGAACAATGAATGAGACAAAGTTTTTCAATACTTTATTTAAATTCTCTTTTTAATAATAATCTTATTTCTCTTAAAAAAGAATCGATTTTCTGGTTTGAATACAGAATCACGTTAATTTAATTGATTGTTGATAAACTCTCATATATAAATAAATAAAGCTGAATTTTACAATGTTTTTATGTTTTTCATCATAGATAGATTTCAGTTATGTTATATCAATCAAAGTCATTTTCTCTTTCTATTTACTAAGGCAACTAAAAATATTTGACGATGTTTTTTTTTAAATTGAAAGTGGTGTCATTCAGTGGAATGTATTTGTCTATAAATACAATTCTTTATTTATATTTTGAAGGGCATTTGCCATCGTAAGACTAATGTATACAATGAAAACAACAGAAGAAATGTTAATTAACCAGACTGATTCATGATTATGATAATGGAATATAGGCATTAGTCCCTGGTTTTTGTATAATATTATTTACTCAAACTATAAACACGAAAATATTCTTGTTTATTTAAATGAAATGTTGTTTTCTAAGAAAAACTGATAAGAATTATTTCATTTTAATATTCATTAGACAAAAAAAATGATAATGAACTGTATAAATTGATAAAGTTCAATGAGTATAAATATCAAATATTCGTTTTATGAGAATATAATTAATATATTTATTTGATGAAATGAGGAGAGATGTTATTAATAATCGAATTAAAATCAATATGAAAAATATTTAAATTATTGTTGATGTCATTTTAAAAAATTCTTTGTTTAGACAAAATAATGTAAGCCAATTATAGGAGGAGTTACGGATAGAAATCAACGACAAATACCATAAACAGCTTTTGTTGTTCTAGAGAAATGCCTCTCATTTCTCATCAACATTTTCTTTCTTATAAATAGTCGCTAGACTATAAACAAATTCTTATTATTAACAAATACAATGTTTTCTTCAACGCAAAGTAGTTTTCTATTATGCACTTATTTCTATTTTGTTTAGATCTGTTTTTTTTTCTGTTTAGACTCATCACCAACTTGTAAAATCATTGAAATTCCTCCAGGTTTAATAGAAAATGGAAAAACTTTATTAATTGAAACACATTATGAATTATTTATAAATGATTATCATTTTTCACGACCATCACATTTTATTACACAAAATCATGGATTATGTCTTGTTGATACACAACAAAATGATTTTACATCAAATACATATTGTCATGAATTAAATTCACATAATTATGATTATAGTAAGTTAACATTTTGATTTTTGTTTTCTTTGTTGATTTTCTATCATATTAAATGATACATTTTCATTAACAAATATTCAATTAAATAAAAATGCATCAATTAAAAAACAACACTAGATAAACAAAAGACACACATCATATTGTTAGCGTTAGTGATTATGCATACTGACGCTAAACGAAGATTAAGATGGTCCTTCTAATCTAACTGACTTAGTACATCTCCCCGGATAGCAGAAGATGTGGGTTCGAATTCCACAGAGATCATCTTTTTCTTCGTTCTGTCACATAACATCAGTGACACTGCGTGTTCTTTCGCGTTCTATACATATCGAAGCTAACACATACATACACACAAAAAACAATAGGATGTATATTACATAGATAACAAATCAATCAATTGAAATAGTTAATAGACTAATAAGGAAAATTTCCCTAAACGTTAAATTTTTTTCAAAAAATTTTCTCGGCTAGAAAAATAAAAAGAAATAAGATTTCCTTGTATAGAATATATATTTATTATCAAGAAAGGGCATCGAAATAGAGCTACTTAAAATAAATAGCGCGATATAGAAAACAACCCGTTTTATTGATCTTCGATTGACTCTGGTAATCTTGGTACTTGTTTTTTTCGTAAACGATTTAGCACAACTGAGCCAGTTGATATAAGTTTAATATTCTTCACTCTTTTTATAAAATAACCTTTTACTTTTTCTTCAGTGAAATAAACTTTAAAAACACATAAATTAGACTCGTAGTTCTATCATACTTTGTTTAACATGGCAATCAAAAATTCTTTCACTAAATATATCTTTTGAAAGAACAGAGCGTGGGTGATTTACTTTGAAAAATCTTCACCTTAAACTATCTTAGAAATCTAAATTTCAAAACCTATAAGGTGATCTACATGATTTTCATGAAAAAGCCGCGTATTTCGTAGTTACGTAGCACAAAAAATGGCATTGAATGAAATTTTTTAGTGTATTTATGTCAGGTTTTGACAGTCTATGATTAGTTTTGTTGTTGAGTCTAATAGAGCGTGAAATTCTGTAGACACTGATTTACTTTAAGACTATGAAACATGTCAACCCAATACGAGTCTAATTAATCTTTTGGAGAACTTCATAATACTCAACAACAACAACAGTGAATTTAAGCTTCAGACAAGATAACTCTATCATAGGCATGCAAAGAGACATTAGACTCCTATTAGGTTGATGTCTTTAATAGTCTCAAAACATATCATTTTCTAGATAATTTAGCGCTCTATCACACTCAATAAGAAAACTAATTATGGACTCTCAAAACCTGACACAAATACACTAAAAATATTTCATCCGATGTCATTTTTTGTGCTACGTAACTACAAAAATACGTGGCTTTTTCATGAAAATCATGTAGGTCACCTCATAGGTTTCGGAATTTACACTTTTAAGATAATTTAAGATGAAGATTTTTCAAAGTGAATTAATTTATTGTGTCGATCACATTCTGCTCTTTCATAGGATATGTTTAGTAAAAAAAAATAAATGCTTGTCATGTTGAAAAAAGCATGATAGAACATGAGCTTACTTAATGTGCTTTTAAACTTTTTCTACGAGAGAAAAAGTAAAAGGTTATTTGTGAGAGAGAGAGGCTCGATTCTGCGGAGTATCTTCATAGTCAGTTTTACTGTTCATAGATTCGACCTAAGTATATAAATCAGAAAACTTTCTTAGTTCTTGTCTTTCAACTGCATAAAAAACAAAGAATGTTCTTCTTAAATTGGTTTCTACCATTTTATATAAAGCGTTTGCTAAATAAAACTTTTTGATTTAATTAAAAGAAAGACTAGCTACAATACAAAATAATTGATCATAATAGAAGTCTATCTTCAATCTTTTCACTTGCAAAGCAAATTAGAAATACAGTCGGCTTCTATTGTATGGTGGAGGGAAGTTTAGTTCCAATTGAAAGAAGTCTTTAAACAGATTAGTTCAAAGGAAATAAATTTTTAAAAAGATCTAATGATCATAACTCTTATGAAACTGTTATATTCTATTATCCCCTTATGTCGTTATAAATTTTTTTTTTCATTGAACAGCTAAAAAAATTATGAATAAGATGCATATGAAATGTTCTGTGTACATTAATGAGAAATTATTTATATTGTTCAATAACTTCAGAATTAAATCAAAGAAAATAATTTAAAAAGCAAAAAAAAAAAGAAACATTTTCAGAAGATAGATTCATATGCTCAATGAATCAATTAACAAATAGAGTTAACAGATAAAAATGACTGAATAATAATATTATCTATAAATAGATTCTAATGAGTTAATACAATAATGTATTTTATCTAACAAAATATGTGCTAGATTTTCTATTTCATGGATATATAAGATTAATCTTATAAATATTTCTTATGTTTAATATGATCGATAGATGATCAGATTAACAATGATGATTGATTAAAGTAATATTGTTATATAATTAAATATTTGTTTGTAAATAGGCTTGTTTGAATTGATCATTGAATTTCCTGCTGAAAGTTTAAATGGTGGAAAAAGTGTTATGATTGAAAGAATTTATTCAAATGAAGAAAAAAAACTATCAGGAAACTTTGAAGATCTTTACAATATTGAACATTTAAATGAATCTGCCGAAACAAAATTTATTCATATTAAAGTTCCACAAGAATTAATCGAAGGAGGCAAAACAATTGTTATTAATAAAAATAATATATCTATTAAAAATAGTATAGATTATTACAAAGAAGTAGCATATCATTTAGGAAATAATAAATTTTCTAAACGAGATCATCTTCAATCAAAAAGTAACTTGTTTTTTAATTTAATATTAATATAAAATAAATAATATATTTAAATATATAGATATGATGGAAATGATAATAGCACTTCCACCAGAACTTTTTTGTAATGACCATAAAATAATATTTCGAAAAGAAGATTCTCAAATAATTGCTGCTAATTTTCCTTATCATCGTCAATCTAAACATGATATACAATTAACACGTCGAGATAATTTAAATCATGATCAAAAACTTTCTTTAGACAAATTTTTTTCAAATCGAATATGGCATCCGATGTTATTGAATGATACTCATTTACTTAAATTATCTCTTTATTTAAATAATCAACCAAATATACGAAATCAAGATCAAATTAAATTAATTATTGATCAACAATATATACGTGTCGAAACAAAGAATAATGAAGATTTTAATATATATCAAGAAATTCTTGTACCAGATATAATTAAATTAGATCAACTTAAATATGAATTTGATGAAAAAAATCGTTATTTTAATATAATGATTCCTCTTCAATGAACAAATTTAATTATATTTTTTTATATCAGCTTTTCATTTAAACACGCTTAATTAAGGATTTTATATTGCCATTAAATATGTATTTTTTTTCATATATATAATCAATAGTTCACAATATTTTTATTTTAGAATAAATGATAGATAAAACTCAAACAAATTAAGTTTTATTTAGTTATTTAATAAATAGAAGGAATTTTATTTAAAACAATGTCAAACAGATTTATTAACTTTTGTTAATTTTCATATGAATTGTTTACAGTTGAAATATTTACTCTTGTTTTAATTTTACGATTATCCTTAAATTTCCAATAGATTAATATTCATGAATGTTTTCATTCATATTAAAAATATCATTTGATTTATTAAACTATTTAAACTTGAGAGAGTTTTATAAAATCTTAGTAACATATGCATTCAAAAGACTCAGATTCAATCAAAATTATTCAAAATAGTTCATTGTTATTGAAAATTTTCTCGTGTGGAAGAAAATAGAAGTAGATGCCGATTTTGAACTATTATTTTATTTTTATCAGAATGAGATTCGTATAGAGTCTTTAGCCTCTATAAGAGTCTATTCGATGTCATATATGCAAATATTAAAGGTTTGAAATTAAGTTCGATTGAAACATGAATTTTGACATGTATGACATTCTACGCACTGCAATACACTCTAGATACTCTTCTTCACTCTATTATAAATCCTATAAGAGCTTTTCCAGTGAAAATGGCGACTTTCAAAGTTTTTCCGTGATGTTAGGCGGTTTACCGGTGAAAACCGGTATCTTCGGTACGGTTTTCGGTTCAGATCGGTTGTTGGTAGAACGGTTACCGATTGGTACGGTGAAGCGGTGACACACCGTCACCGTTGCATCCCCAATTTTCATCTATGTTATCTTCATTATCAATATTTCTTTGGACTACATTATCAATATTTCTTTGCATTATATTATCATCTCAAGTACCATGATCTTATTGGAACATTATTCATTTCAACTACTTAATAAATTGAATAAGATCGTTTCATGTATTCTTCTTTCAAACTTGTTTATTAGCTTGTACATATGCTAGAAGATGTTAAAATAAAATATAGAGATAGATTTATATCTTATATAGTTCTTCCGTAACTTATATGGTATAAGAGAAAATCATTATGTTTGTTCATGAACTCAATCAAAGACATAGAACAAAAGTATTATTGTAATAAGATTGTGTTTTTTTTAAGCAAGAAAAGAAACGTATCCCTTTAGTCATTGTACAATCAATGGTTTTGATCATCGTATGATTACGCATTTGCATCGAACAATACACGTATTCTTTTTCGATAATATATGTATCCCTGTTATATTTTCTATTTGTTACAAATACATTGATGAATGTCGAAAGATTACATCACTATAAACTCTGAATTAAATTTACAAAAAAAAAATGATATTTAAGTTTTATTTTATTTATTAAACAAAGTATATTATGATTATTCAGATGTTAAAACATCATATTCT